CCCTCGCACGTGGTTGGATCTCCAAATCCTCTTCTCCCGTTGGTGCTCCCTGCTTCTTCGTGAAGAAGCCCAATGGTGGTCTTCGCCTTTGCGTCGACTACCGAGGCCTCAATGCCATCACGAAGAAGAACCGTTACCCACTTCCCCTCTTCCAGGATTCTTCTGGATAAACTTTCTTCTGCCCGCGTCTTCTCACACCTCGACCTTCCTGATGCTTACCACTTGGTTCGTGTCAAGAAGGGCGATGAGTGGAAGACTGCTTTTGTTTGCAAATCTGGCTCATTTGAGTACAATGTTATCCCCTTTGGTCTTTCGAATGCCCCCGCTGCTTTTCAGTTTTTTATGAACGACATCTTCTCGGACCTCCTTGGTGTCTGTGTTGTCATTTATCTTGACGACATCCTGATCTTCTCAAAAGATCCCCAGGAGCATGAGGAGCATGTTAAGCTTGTTCTCTCTCGCCTTCGTGAACACTCCCTTAAGGTCAATCCGGCCAAGTGTTCTTTTGACCTTTCTGAAGTTGACTTTCTCGGCATGATCATTTCTGCCGATGGCATCAAAATGGACCCTGCCAAGGTCGAGGCCGTTTCCCTTTGGCCTGTTCCCTCTTCTGCTCGCGATATCCAAGTCTTTATTGGTTTCGCAAACTTTTACCGCCGCTTCGTCAAGGACTTTTCCGCACTTGCTCGTCCTTTGACTTCCCTCACTACCAAATCCTCCACCTTCTCTTGGTCTCCCGAGGCCCAAGAGGCTTTTGATTCTCTTAAACTTTCCTTCACTTCCGCACCTATTCTTCGATACTTTGATTTCTCTAAACCCGCTGTCATCGAGCCCGATGCTTCTGACTTTGCTTTGGGTGCCGTCCTTTCTCAGTTTGACCCTGACGGCGCTCTTCACCCCGTTGCTTTTCACTCTCGGCAATTCCGTCCCGCCGAGGTGAATTATGACACTCACGACAAAGAGCTCCTCGCCATTGTCGATTCCTTTACCGCCTGGCGTCATTACTTGATGGCTGCCGACCCTGATATTCCCACTCTTGTTTTCTCTGATCATCAGAACCTTACCCGGTTCACTGCCGCTTCTCAACTTTCTCGCCGCCAGTTCCGGTGGGCCCAATTCCTTTCTGACTTTGCTTTTCGCATTTACCACCGCCCTGGTCGTCTCAACACCAAAGCCGATGCTCTCAGTCGCCGTTCTGACTTTGAGATAAAGCCTGGTGACTCCCTCCACTCCACCAACTTCCTTCAGCTGTTCGAGTCTATTTCTCTCGACAGCATCACTGTTATCGGCTCGAATCCCGACTTTCTTTCCGAGATTCGAGCTGCCACCCTTTCTTGTTCCCTCCTTTCTGACTTTAACGCCAAACGTCTTGATGGCGATTACTCCTTCCGTGACGGTCTCCTTTACTTTAAAGACCTGATCGTTGTCCCTTCCCCCGAGCTCCAGCTCAAAGTGTTTGAGCAACGTCACTGCTCCGCTGCCGCTGGTCACTTTGGTCTTGCCAAGACCGTTGAGCTCGTCTCCCGGGACTTTCACTGGCCCCGGCTTCGTAAGTCTGTGCGTCGCTTCATTGCTAATTGTGAAGCGTGCCAGCGAGCCAAGCCGTCCCGTCACTCCCCTTATGGTTTACTTCATCCTCTCCCCGTTCCTTCCGAACGTTGGTGGGACCTGTCGATGGACTTCATCACGGATCTCCCACCTTCGAACGGTTTTGACTCGATCTTCGTGGTTAAGGACCGCCTGTCCAAACAAGCACACTTTGTGCCCACCACGAAGACGGTTACAGGCGAGCAAACCGCCGAACTCTTCCTCTCCCACATCTTCCGCTTGCATGGTTGTCCCCGGTCTATTGTTTCGGACCGAGGAACTCAGTTTACTTCGGCCTTCTGGAGGCGCTTCAATGAGCTTCTGAAGACGAAGATTTCCCTTTCTTCTGCCTTCCACCCCGAGACCGACGGTTCGACCGAGGTTCTCAACCAGGTCATCGAGCAGTATTTGCGTATCCATTGCAATTACCTGCAAGACGACTGGACCCTTCACCTTCCCCTTGCCGAGTTCACTTACAACAACTCGGAAAACACCTCCACTGGCATGACTCCCTTCTTTGCAGTCCATGGCCATCACCCCATTTTCGATCCCTCTATCATTCGTGATCCCTCTGTTGTGCCCTCTGCCGAAGAACGTGTCGACCGACTTCAGACCGTTCTCGAGGATCTCAAGGCCAACCTCCGGGTTGCCCAAGAGTCCTACACTGTGCAGGCCAACAAATCCCGTCTCCCCACTCCCGACATCTCCGTTGGCGACCTCGTTTTTCTGGATCGTCGCCACATTCGCACCCTTCGTCCCTCCAACAAGCTTGACCAGAAAAAGCTTGGCCCCTTTAAAGTTCTTCGCCGCATCAACCCCGTTGCCTTTGAGCTTAAACTCCCTTCCACACTTAAAGTTCACCCCGTTTTCCATGTATCCCTCCTTGAACCCCGAACGAAGGACATTGTTCCCGAGTTCACCCAACCAGAACCACCTCCCATTCTTGTTAACTCCCAGGAAGAGTTTGAGGTCGAGACTGTTCTCGATTCTCGGCTCTTCCGTGGTCGCTTACAGTACTTGGTTCAGTGGAAGGGCTATTCCGAGACTGACCGGTCTTGGGAGCCCGCTGCCAATGTTTCCCACGCCACTGATCTTGTTGCTGACTTCCACCTTCGCTATCCCTCAAAGCCGAAGGCGACGTCCGGAGTTCGTCGCTAAGGAAGGGGATGATGTTAGGGATAGCTCCTGCTTGTTCTCCACTTTGACTGCACACTTGGCTATTCTTTTGCCTTTCTGTTTGTTTGTGTGTAGCCTTGCAGTTCCCCTCCGATTTTCCGCCTTTTGCCTGTCTTTTCCGCTCCTTCCGCACTTCCGTTTTCCCGCGCTGCTCCGCTTCCTTTGTCTTCTTCGCACGCGCCGGTTTGTTTGTGCACGCGCCTTGCTGCGATTGGTTGCAATTCGGCTGCCGGTCATGTGTCCCCCCACCGGTGACTCATGACCTGCCTGACCGCCCCGATCTCTTGTTCATCTCGCATGCATTTGCCCCAACCTTATACTTGACCAATCCGCTTCTTGGACGTTGAGTCACATTGCTTCGCCTTTGCACGTTTCTCCTGCCAGGTGCTTCGCTTTTGCTTGCGCCTCTCTCGCTTTGGTTCTCTGCCTGTCTCGGTGGTCCTTCTCGGCCCTCGTTCGTGCATCGCCCCCTTCGCCCTGCTCGATCGCCCACTTTTCCCTCCCTTGGCCGCCCTTCGCTGCCAAGTCCGGACTTGTCTATAAATAGCCTGACCCCCGCGATGTGTAGTCGAACCTTAGCGTTCAAAATAGGACTAAATAAAGTGCCTTCTACTTTATTCTCTGAGTGTTCCTCACGTCTCATTTCGAGACAAGTCTTATCTTGAACGGATCTTTGCTTCCCTCGCTCCCTCTCCGAGTCCACTTCGGACTCTACCCTTGCTTTCCCTGAGCTCACTTCGAGCTCACTTCTTCTTTTGCCGTTGAGTCCCCTTTGGACTCTAACAGGCGGCTTGCGCCACCATGCACCTCTCGCACGACGCACAACACTTGGTTTGTTTCTCCTTCGGGGGAGGGGGCGAGGTGAACTTCCTCTGGAGACGCGTGGACTGCATTGAGCAATCCACGGCGTTGGTCTCCTACTAGGGCTCCAGAGCCACCTAGTAGGGTCGGCCGTTTCCCGACTTCATGGGGCACTCCTTGGCCTGGTGTCCCGGTCGGTGACAGAAGAAGCAGGAACCATGGCGGAGGTCCTCCTGCTTCTGTCTGTCCTTGGGGGAGACAGTGGCAGCTTGCTGGAACCGGGAGCGGGGAGGGCCACGAGCCTCCATGGCGTTGACGTCAACGTCCATGGGCTCAGGCATGGGTCTTGCGGGCGGGGCCGGGCGAGGCGGACGGGCTGGGACGTGATGAGACCGATGGCCGCCTGCCAGCTGCGGGTAGAACTGGCGGCCATGGTACTGGACGTTGTCGAGGTTCTCGGCAACGTCCATCATCACGTCCAGGGACTTGCGGGCATCAGGGTTGCTGGCGATGTACTCTCTGATCTTGGGCTTGAGGCCCTTCTGGAAGAGGTACATCGCATCAGCAGAGCCCAGCTCCTCAATCTGGGAGGAGAGGTCTTCAAACTCCTCGATGTAGCGGGTCACAGAACCACGCTGCACGAGAGAGTATAGCTTGTCACGGGCAATGAGTTCAGCATTGGGGCTGCCGAAGCGGCGACGGAGGCGGTCCTTGAAGTCGTCAAACACACCTTCGCTCTGCTCGTCGAACCCTTGGCGGCGGTACCAACGGTACGCCTGGTCCTTTAAGCAGAGCTTGGCGGCGACGATGTGGTGGGTGGGGGCGACTTGGGCAGCATCGAGGTAGTCCTCGAGTTGCTGCAGCCAGTCCTCCACCGAGGAGGAGCGGCTCTTCCCAGTAAACACTGGGGCACGGAAGGTCTTGAGGAAGGCTTCCGGAAGTGGGCGGGGGTTGCTCATGGCAGGGGCAGGCTCCAGGGACAGAGAGGAGAGTCGGTCGGCAAGAGAGGCGGGATCCAGCTTGAGGATCTAGAAAGAGGACAAACAGGACGAAAACAAGACGAGGATTTCCGATGCTACCATGTAACGTCCACTACTGGGACGTTGGGGCAAGACGGGGAGGGAGGGGGTACAAGACAAGACAGGACGGGGCAGAACAGGGCGGTGCTAGGCTACTCTAGCGGACGGGTGAGCTCGGGGAGCACTTACGTTTATTCACGATAAAACCGAACTCCAGACAAACGGGGGGAACGGGGGCAACCCGCAGGTATACCCTGCGGTGGCCTGCCTGCGGTGCGTGAAAACGCAAAGCGCAGCACAGGTCACGACCCACTGCGCCGCGCAGTACGCGCAGTACGCGCAGCACAGCGTCGGAGATACCATCTCCTACAGGAAGCGTCTGGCCCATCAGCAACACCCGGTCGCCGGACTGCAGCGTCACTCCATCGATGACCGAGACGGGGCTGGTGAGGTCAACGTTCGAGTCGGCAGCGACAGAGACCGATTGCTTGACATTCAGGCCCCTCGCCACGGCATCGACATAACCCTTGGTCGCCGAGTCCGACGACAGGATGGGGTCGGGGACGTTGGTCAGCCGGGTGACCGACTTGAGATCCATCACACCACTCACGACACTGAAATCACTGGTCGCCAGCCCGCCCGAGAGCTCGAGTACGTTGCTGGTGTTGGTCAAGGCGATGGTGTTTGTGGGGCTGGTCGTGTCCTGGATGTGCAAGGGGGATGCCACCACCGAGAGCGTCAGGGGCGATGGACAACTCAAAGTCAATGGCTGGTCAAAGGCCAGCTGGTTTGCACTGAACTGGATGGTACCCCCCGACGGGGCAATAAAGGACGGGCAGGTGAGCGAAGTGGCAATCGACACAGGGGCACCCGTCAGAGCCAGTGATGCATTAGCAGGGGTGGTGATGGATGTGACGTTCTGGATGGCGGACGAGTTGATCTCGATGCCGCTCTCGATCACCAGCGGCACATTGCACTGGACCGTAGAGCCTCCGGTGCTAGTGGAGAGCTGAGCCCCGCCGGAAAAGACAATGGAGCTGGGCAGAGAGAGATTGGGGCAGATGGCACGGGCATTGGCAATGTCAAAGAGAATGGACAGATCGTTGCCGGGGGTAGTGGTGTCGATCCATGCAATCCCCGGATTCGGCGTGCTGGTGATGAGCCGGAGACTCTTGGTCTGGATGGAAGTAGACGGGTCAAAGGAGACAAAGGTAAAGACGTTGCTCGGGATGGAGAGGGTGTCTGCGGTGATGGTCAGCTCGGAGCCGACGATAACCGAGGTATCGACACTGAATGCACCGACCCGAGCCAAGTTCCCGAGACTCAACACATCGCTGCTGGCCGAGAGCACGACACCGCTGGTTCCAAAGATGAGCTGGCCGCCGACGATCTGCAGGTCTCTGTTGAGCAGCTGCAACCCGACCCCATCCGGTGCAGTGGGTCCCGCTGGATTCCACGAGTTGATGGCCATGAGCTGCCGACCAGCGTCAAACCATGGGCCATTGGCATTGATCTTGGAGCCATCGGATGCGAGTAGGAAGTTTGCAGCGAGCGAAGACGACCCTGTGCCTCCATAAGCGAGTCCGACGGCCTGGCCCTGCCATTTTCCCGCGGTGATGGTGCCGACGGCATCGAGATGGGTGATGGAGGAGACAGAGAGGGTGCCGCCGGAAAGCGTCAGGCCCTCGCCGGCAAAGGTGTCTGCAACCCGCAGACCGCTTGGAGCAGCAATCAGCGACGAATCCTGGACCTGCACCGAGAGCTGCTTGCCGGAAGCGACGAGACCATTGCCGGCCACAGCCAAGCTGTCCCCCGACGAGCACTGGTGAACGCCCGACGAATCCACCAGCCATGATGTATTCCCATACTGCGTGCCGGACTGGATGTAGACCAGAGTCTGGTTGGGCAGCGCAGCCGGGTTGTCGACATACATGTTGGTGGAGAGCGTCTGGACGGTCAGGATCTGGCTGGTGGCTGCACAAAAGATGGTCTGGCCGAGGAGGACGACGACCGAGTCGATGCTAAACTGGACGTAATAGTACTGGTTGGTGTTGGTGTCGAGAGTGGGTGCGGTGGCAATGTAGTAGTCTGCCGTCTGTCTCGATGCGATCCCGTTGCTGACCCAGTTCTGCAGATACGAGAGCGGCACGGCATCGGTCGGATCGGTTGGGGTCGGCAGGCCCGTCAGCGTCCCTCCGCCCCCGATGGCCAGTTTCGATCCACTCTGGGTGAGGGTCTGGCCCTGGATGTAGAGAGTGGTGCATCCGAGGGTCTGGGACTGGACCGAGTTGGCCGAGACGGCATCGGCAAAGTAGCTCTCGATCTGGACCTTGGGGATATCAAGGGTGCCGTCGTCTCGAGCGGTCCAGATGGTCTGTCCGTTGCGCACGAATGCGGTGGAATTGGTGCTGTCCACCAAAGACGAGTGGGTCATGGCGAGAGTGTCGGTTTGCACCTGCTGGGCCTGAATGGTGCCGCTCACAGTCTCGCTACCGGTGACGGTCAGGGTGGCCACTTTGACTTCCTCGGTCTCGAAATACCCGCTGGCAATGGCCCCTATCTGCACGAGCACCCAAGTAGATGTGTCGATTGGAGGTGTCAGTGCAGTGACTGTAACGTCCACTACTGGGACGTTGGGGCAAGACGGGGAGGGAGGGGGTACAAGACAAGACAGGACGGGGCAGAACAGGGCGGTGCTAGGCTACTCTAGCGGACGGGTGAGCTCGGGGAGCACTTACGTTTATTCACGATAAAACCGAACTCCAGACAAACGGGGGGAACGGGGGCAACCCGCAGGTATACCCTGCGGTGGCCTGCCTGCGGTGCGTGAAAACGCAAAGCGCAGCACAGGTCACGACCCACTGCGCCGCGCAGTACGCGCAGTACGCGCAGCACAGCGTCGGAGATACCATCTCCTACACTCCCACACTTAAGAAGGCTTCCTGCGAGGAGCCCTGCGTGTGCTCTTTATTTGGGGCTCCTCGAGGTGTTTACCGTATTTACTCAGCTCCTCGGGTGCATGGGACAAGTCCTCCAGTGTTTGCCATGTGTTGCCCGAGTGTGGGTAACCAACCCACTTGACATAAAACCGAAGTGACCCATCAGCCACTTTCTTGTGCCTCACGATCCTTTCGACTTCATATTCTTGAGTATAGTATTGTCCGAGGTCGTCTTCCAGTGGTGCGTCGTCCGGGACACCTTCGTCGGCGTCGGGGAACTGTGCTGGACTGCGGGTCGTGTGGCGACGCAGCTTGGACACATGGAAGACAGGATGGAGCTTGCTTCCAGGTGGCAAGTCCAACAGGTAGTTGAGGGGACTGGGTCGGGCCGCTATCTTGAACGGTCCTCGGTACTTGGGCAACAACTTCTTTGACTGGGCTTCGGGGACCTTGATGTTGTCGGCGTCCAGGTAGACAAGGTCTCCAACTTCAAAGGAGACATCCTGGTGTCGGCGGTCGTAGTACTTCGCCATCACTTGTTGCGCATCCGTGAGCGCGTCGGCGATCATCTTGTGTCGGACTTGATGATCTTTGACAAAGGCACTTGGTTTGGGAGGCAATCCAGCCGTGGACTCGGTCAGTGTCAAGGAGGTGGGAACATCAGGCTGGAATCCGTAGAGCGCCTCAAAGGGGCTCAAGCCAGTTGTGCTCGACTTGGCGGTGTTGTATGCAAACTCTGCATGACTCAGCTGTATGTCCCAGTCGTCTTGGCTGGTCGAGGCGTATGTCCTCAGGTATTGCTCGAGGGTGCGGATCGTCCGCTCGGACTGTCCATCCGTTTGTTGGTGGTGCGAGGTTGACATGTTCAGCTTGGTGCCGAGATGGTCGAACAGACTTGTCCAAAACAAGGAGGTGAATCGGGGGTCTCGATCACTGACGATGGACTTTGGGAGGCCGTGGTGCTTGAACACATGCTTGAAGAACAGCAGTGCAAGGTCAGGCGCGGAGCATGTCGTCTGGCACGGCACAAAGTGTGCCATCTTGCTGAACCTGTCGACAAAGACAGCGATTGCATCGTGGTCCAACTTGGTCGTCGGTAGATGCGTGATGAGATCCATGGACATGCTGGTCCAGGGGCGGTCGGGAACAGGCAGGGGTTGCAGCAATCCTTGCTCTCGGGTCGTGCGTGACTTGACCATCTTGCAGGTATGGCAGGACTCGATGTACTTCTCGACGGTGCGCTTCATTCCAGGCCAGTATGCGACTTTGGCCAGTCGGTCGTATGTCTTCTCGACTCCAAAGTGTCCAGCGAGGGGCGAGTCGTGGACCTCTTGGAGCAACTTGGTCTTCAACGACGGAATGTCCGGCACACAGACACGGCTGTCCTTCTTCAGGAGGAGCAGGCCATCACGCACTGTGTACTCGGATGATTCGTCGTCCTTGGGGAGCTTAGACACCTTTCGGAACAGTTCTCCGAACTGTTTGTCGTTGGCGATGTTGTCTCGGACAACATCCAGCATCGTGTTGTCGACACTGACAGTCGACTCGTACAGTGACGCCAATTGGTAGTCGGGGCGTCGGGACAGTGCGTCAGGCACCACATTGAGTTTGCCTTTCTGGTATACAACCTCGTAGTTGTACTCGGCGAGGAACTCCATCCATCGCGCTTGGCGTCGGCTCAGGTTCTTCTTGGTGTCGAGGTAACGCAGTGACTGGTGGTCCGTCACAATCTTGAAGGGCTTGGCGGTACCGTGGAGGTACACTCGGAACTTCTGCAGCGCGTAGATGATCGCAAGCTGCTCCTTCTCGTGCACGGGATAGTTGATCTCGTGTTGGGACAGTTTGCGCGACTCGAAGGCAACGGGCCTTCCCTCCTGCATCAAAACAGCTCCCACCGCAAAGTCGGAGGCGTCGGTGTGCACGGAGACATCCGTGTTCGGGTCGAACACAGCGAGGACAGGAGCGTTCGTCAAGGCGTGCTTGAGGGTCTCGAACGCTTGGCGTTGTGGGTGGTCCCACACGAAGGGGCACTCTTTGCGGAGTAGGTCTGTGAGTGGACCGGCAGTGCGCGCCAGATCGGGGATGAATCGGCGGTAGTAGTTGACGAGACCGAGAAACGACTGCACGTCAGAGACGCATGCGAGCGGCGGCCACTCGACCACAGACTTGACCTTGGCGGGGTCGACTTCGATTCCTCTTCCTGAGACAACGTGTCCCAGGAACGGGACTTGATTCTTGAAGAACTCACACTTGGACAGTTTGGCATACAACTTGTGCTCGCGTAGCTTGGCCAGCACGCGGGCGACATGACCTTCATGGGTCGCTTCATCCTTGCTGTACACAAGGATATCATCCAGGTACACGATGACAGAGTTGTCGAGCTCTTGGCGGAACACATCGTTCATCAGCTGCATGAACGTGGCAGGTGCGTTCGTCAATCCGAACGGCAGCACTAGGAACTCGTACAGTCCGTAGCGAGTCCTGAAGGCGGTCTTGTGGACATCATCCTCGTGGATGCGGATCTGATGGTAGCCTGAGCGGAGGTCTATCTTGCTAAAGACCTTTGCTCCACTCAGACGATCCATCAACTCGTCGATCCTGGGCAACGGGTAGGTGTTCTTGATGGTCTGTTTGTTTAGTGCGCGATAGTCGACGCACATCCTGAGATCACCTTCTTTCTTCTTGACAAAGAGCACTGGTGCACCATACGGTGACTGGCTCGGGCGGATGAACCCATGGGCGAGGAGGTCATCCAACTGGCGCTTGAGTTCGTCCATCTCCGTCAGCGACAGTTGGTACGTCGGTCTTGACGGAGGCGACGAGCCTGGTTCGATGTCGATGCGATGATCGACGGTGCGTTGGGGTGGCAGGCATTGTGGCAACTGGTCGGGGAATACGTCCTTGTACTCGTCGAGCAGCTTGGTCACCACAGGCGGGGGACCGGGACCGGCTTGGTCGGTGTCGTCGACCTCACGCACGACACAGAGGAACGACGTGTCCTTCTTGATCAGCCTCTTGAATTGCATGGCTGAGAGGAGAGGTGGCATGTTGGGTGAGGCCATGCCCTGCAGGACAATGTCAGGGCCAACACGGACAGTGCGGCCTTTCCAGTCGACGACTGGAGTCGGCTCGGCACGAGCAAGCCAGCTCATGCCGAGGATGGCATCGAACTTGGTGTCGATCACTTGGAACAACAGGACAGGATGGTACTTGGGATGGAGGGCCACTCGCAGGACCACTTGGTGTGTGCACTGCTGCACACGATCGTCTGCAAGCGCCACACTCATCGGCGACTTCTTCTTGGTTGCATGTATGTTGAGCTCCTGGAGCAAGCGTCTGCTGACAAAGTTGCAGCTTGCTCCAGAGTCCACCATCATTCGGACGGTGTGACCTTGGACGGTGGCAGGGAGGTACAGCAGGGACTCTTCATGGTCCTCCTGCACAGCCTCCTGCACCATGACTTGACTTGGGGGAACGGGCGACACTTGGTCTTGGTTGGCTTCATCACGGCCACTCGGACATTTTGGATAGGGTTCGGCCATTGCGGGGGCCTGCGGCGTCAGCACGCCATTGCACACGACGTCCACGGCTTGCGGACACATGTCGGAAGCATCCGACACACACGACTTGACAGGGGTGAGGGCACAGGCGGTCCTGTCCCTCAAGGGTTCTTGATTTTCTTTTTTGTTTTGGTTTTCAATTTTGGTTTTCTCTTCACGTTCGTGGAGAGGCAGGCGGCTTGCGCCACCATGCACCTCTCGCACGACGCACAACACTTGGTTTGTTTCTCCTTCGGGGGAGGGGGCGAGGTGAACTTCCTCTGGAGACGCGTGGACTGCATTGAGCAATCCACGGCGTTGGTCTCCTACTAGGGCTCCAGAGCCACCTAGTAGGGTCGGCCGTTTCCCGACTTCATGGGGCACTCCTTGGCCTGGTGTCCCGGTCGGTGACAGAAGAAGCAGGAACCATGGCGGAGGTCCTCCTGCTTCTGTCTGTCCTTGGGGGAGACAGTGGCAGCTTGCTGGAACCGGGAGCGGGGAGGGCCACGAGCCTCCATGGCGTTGACGTCAACGTCCATGGGCTCAGGCATGGGTCTTGCGGGCGGGGCCGGGCGAGGCGGACGGGCTGGGACGTGATGAGACCGATGGCCGCCTGCCAGCTGCGGGTAGAACTGGCGGCCATGGTACTGGACGTTGTCGAGGTTCTCGGCAACGTCCATCATCACGT